TTTGAATTTGATTATATATGCCAATTTTTTAAACAGATTTTCTAGTATCTTTTTTATAGCCTTACAGAGATTATTATAATTCAGAAAATGAATCATATAAAACTGCCACAGGAAAAATCGGAAGAAGTCATAAATATTTATGAATAATATTCTGTAAGTTATGGCATTTCCAATCGTTCAGTTATATGACAGCTATAGGATATAGTCGGCCGATCCTTATGAATTTTGGTAGGGCGGATTGACTGGCCAAATATAAAACCCATATAAAATCCCAACTTCCTAATCTGGTTCTAAGCTGGAGAGTTTACCGAAGGCTGGTTGACCCTATTACTTAACACAATTTCGGAGCAAAGTCTGATAAATCTTGGTGAACAAGTTTATTAACGAAGTTAATAATAATATACAAGAAAAATCAACGTAAACAAATTTGTTTGGGGCTTGTTTTCTAAAGCGGACAAGTTTTTAAATTCGGGTCGATTTTCTCTGCTGAAAATGTTTTCGTAATTTACTTATTTATTCATTTATTCATTACATAATAAGATAAGATACTCTTGTAATGATTGAATAAAAAGCGAGGCGCGGCTGTCAGCAAACGCAGTCTAAGATTTTCTGAGGTGCAGTAATCATGTACTCGAAAAAATTTGTTGGGCAAGGGCCCACCGCTCCGATGATTCAACTGGGGGTTAATGGACCAAATGGACTAGGTCCTGAATGGTTACCCTTGAAACAGGATTGGAAGCAACGATGGTGCACACTAACCGGAGAATATACGGATGAGTTTGCGAAGCGAATTCATGACTTCAAAACACGGAGCACTGATGTTTTCGTCGTGTCCTTGATGAAGACGGGTTCTACTTGGGTGCAGGAATTGGCTTGGCTTCTGCTAAATAAAATGGACTTTCAACAAGCCAGGAAAAGCTATGGTATGGAGCGCAGTCCCTATTTAGAGTGAGTAAAACCAAAAAATTTTAATTCAAATAAGGCCGATAAATGTAAATTTGGCCTAAACTTGAGATTTAAATACCACAAATATTATTAATTTTTTCTAAACACAATTTTTGGTATTAAGGCATTCGGGCGTTATTAGTACGACCAAAGTGGATTCGATAGATGCGTGCGATAAACTTCAGAGTAATCCTCGATTACTTAAATCCCATTTACCTGCACAACTTTTGCCTCGAGGAATCTGGAAGCATGGACCTAAAATTATATATGTGGCTCGGAATCCGAAGGATGTCGTGGTTTCTACATATCACTTCTTGACTGGACTGAATTGTTCCAAATGTAGTTTGAATGAATTTGTGGACTATTTTATCGCAGATAAGATTGACTTTACTTCATATTGGGCGCACGTTATCGACTTTTATAGAATGCGCGACGAGGATAACATTTTTTTTGTTACCTACGAGGAAATGAAACGAGATCTTGAAGATGTGATCAAAAGACTTTCAAATTTCTTATGTTGCGAAGTGCTGAGCAAAAGTGAAATGGAGGAACTAATTAACCACTTGAGCTTTGAGAATATGAAAAGTGAGTAGACTCCAGAAAAGCGGAGTGAATTTATCTATGTAAAGAAAATTGTGTTTTTTAGAGAGCAAGTTCGGCAACCACACCACATTTATGCAAGATTGTCATCAGCCGACGAATAAGTTTGAGTAAGTTTTATATTAACTTTCAATTTGACACCTAAAACTATTATGTGATTAGATTCCTGCGCCGTGGCATTGTTGGCTCCTACGAGGATGAGCTAAGTTCCGAGAGCCAGGAAAAAATTAACCAAATGTCTCTCAGCTTTCTGAACGAATATGGAATCAGTGAATCTGATATTTTTGGCCAAATTTAAATACTTTTTGTAATACAGTACGGTTGTTAAAATTTATACTTTGAATTGATGACTCCAAATTCAAGACATCACGCTTTTTTTATACATTGAAAATAAAATTATGAATCGTTTTGCTTACACAATAGAAAACTGAAAACATATTTTAACCAGTAGTTTACCTTTTATTAAGATAGGAATTTTATTTGAGACTGCTACATTCAATGGCGTATTCTATAAATTTTTGTTTTTGGGCAAGGTTATATTGTCATAACCTTGGAATCTCTTTGTCTAATTTTCTAACTAATGTATCTACTAAATACCAATTTTACTGATGCCCACCACTTAAAGCTGTTCGATCGTTGACTTTCATGCCAACGATCCATTTACAGTTGAAAGGACCTAGTGACCCTTAAGTCAGGATTAGAACAAACAATGGTGCCCGTTGACTGATCTGTACAGGGAAAAGTTTGCTTTAGAAACACTAAAGTTATGGCATTTCTGATCAATCCGTTATATGGCGGCTATAGGATATAGTCGGCCGATCCTTATGAAATTTGGTAGGGCGGATTGATTGGCCAAATATTAAACCCATATAAAATCGCAACTTTACAAACATTTCCGATCGTTCAGTTATATGGCAGCTATAGGATATAGTCGGCCGATCCCGGCCGTTCCGACTTATATACTTCGTTCCTTTAAGACGGTGTGCGCAAAGCCGATTTAAAAGTGGCATATCTCTTAAGACTTGGGGTTTGATTCTGAAAAAATCTGCATTCAAATTTTAACGTTCATCCAATTTTTGACCCACTTTCATGTCATTTATTTCCAATTTTCCGATGTGTTGTAAAAAGGTGACCCACGACTGGACTTCCGGAGTCCATAACTTTACCAAATTTAAGCCGACTTTAAAGTGACATACCTCTTAAGACTTGTTAATTCATCCTGAAAAAATCTGCATTTAATTTTTTCATTTTAACGTTAGTCAAATTTTTGATTCATTTTCTAAGTTTCCGGCGACTTGCAAAACGGGAACCCACAATTGGACTTCTAGAGTTCATAACTTTACCAAATTTAATCCAATTTCAAAAAGTAACATACCTCCTAAGACTTGTGGTTTGATTGTCTAAAAATCTGCATTCAAAATTTTCATTTCAGCGTCAGTGAAATTTTTGACTCATTTTCATGTTTCCGATGACTTGCAAAAGGGTAACCCACAATTCTTTCTATGTTTCCGATGTGTTGTACAAAGGTGACCCAGAACTGGTCTTCCGGAGTCCATAACTTTACCAAATTCAAGCCAATTTTAAAGTGGCATACCTCTTAAGATTTGTGTTTTGATTCTGAAAAAATCTGCATTAACATTTTTCGTTTTAACGGTGATGAATATTTCGACCCATTTTCATTTTTACGTTTCCGAAGATTTGTAAAAAGGTGACCCACAATTGAACTTCCAGAGTCCATAACTTGACCAACTTAAGCCGATTTTAAAGTGATATACCTCTTTAGTATTTAAATGTTTTTTATTTTTTTTTCTGAATGCACAACATCTTGAAAATATTGTGTTAAAGTTTTAGATCGATCCGAGTAAAGCTTCCGAAGTTATGGGCAGTTGAACGTAGGTAAGTTGGCTCGTTTTGTATGGGTGTCCAAAACTTTAAAACGCTCTCCTGAAAAGTTACCCTTCTTAAAGTCGGTGTACACGATCCTGCAAATCCAGTTGTTCTCAACTAAATTCCTCAGGTAACGCCGTGGAGTTTTTTTTTTTGTGAATCTTGTTCTTTAACTAATGCAATTGGATTTTTATACCCGTTACTCGTAGAGTAAAAGGGTATATTGTATTCGTGCAAAAGTATGTAACAGCTCACATCAACAATTGTAGCGACAATAAGGGAATGATAATTATATGTGCTAGTCAACGTATTTATAAAATGAGCTGAAATTGGAATACAGGGTAATTCGAGCGTAACGTATACAAATTAAGACGGTTAAGTTCAAAATTTTATTTTCACCAGCAACAGGTTTGTACAGTAGTAACTGGTTAAAGTTGATCAATAAAAACCGGAAAAGTTAGGAAATGCAATCGAATGAAATAGGCGCGACTTTCCCTATTATTTTATAAAATTGATTTTCAGTTTCATTTGGACTCAGTTTCGTTTTACTATTGGTCGGATTAGGTAGACAAAATTTTGATAAAATGTTACCGGTTCGCTCCGTTGTTTTATGTGTTCTCGCAGTAGTAGCTTCCACCCAGGGAGCCAATATACTGGGGATCTACAGCGACCTCTTTCCCTCCCACTTAATCATCCACATGTCCACGGCCAAGGCTCTGGCCGAAGCAGGACACAACGTGACCGTGGTAACAACAATCCAGCCCAAGGTGATGCACAAGGACATCCACCTGATTGTGGTGCCCGTCACGGAGGAACAGGAGCGCACTCTGGGAAAAGCGATGGCCATCATGGCCGGGAACAAGAACGACGTCATCAGCACAAGGTATCTCCTCCTAAATGAGCTGGATGTGATGATCAGGAACCAGGCTGATCTGCTTTCCGACCCGAGATTCCTGAGCATTTATCAGACTAAATTCGATTTGTTGATTTTGGGCTCCTTCTACAACGACTTCCAGTTGGGAGTTGCAGCCAAGCTGAAGGTTCCTGTGATCGTCGATTGGATGATACCGTCCAACAACGTGATTGACGGGTTTGTGGCTAATCCCTCTGAGATCTCCTATGTACCCAATGCATGCACCTATGCCAGTGCTCCCATGAGCATTCTTAAACGGGCTGAGAACTTGGCCAATCACCTGATTCTCAATTACTTGACCCGGCGATTTGATTACAAATTTACTCGCATATACAATGAAATTTTTACAGAAAGAGATTTTCCAACTCTAAAAGAGATGAAAAAGAATATCTCATTAATCTTTGTGGGTTCACATTTAATCAGCGACCGTCCAATTCGACCACTGGTTCCTGCGATTGTTGAAATCGGAGGAATTCAAGTGAAGGAGACACCAGATCCGCTGCCCACGGACATTGATCAGTTTCTAGAAAGGTCCACCATGGGAGCCATCTTCGTCTCATTTGGCTCCAACATCAAGAGTCATATGTTGAAGCCGGAAATCGTCCAAATCATGTTTACAGTCCTGTCTGGCCTAAAACAAAACATTATCTGGAAGTGGGAGGACTTGGAGAAAACGCCAGGCAATGCCTCAAACATCCTGTACAAGGACTGGCTGCCCCAAGACGATATCCTGGCTCATCCGAACACCAAGCTATTTGTCAATCACGCCGGAAAGAACAGCGTTACCGAATCCCAATACCATGGTGTACCTATGGTGGCCATGCCCATTTTCGGAGATCACCCCGTGAACGCTGCCATATTGGTGCAATCGGGATACGGCGTGGCCCTTGACCTGCTCACCATTACGGAAGACGGTTTCGGCAAGGCCATTAACGAAGTCCTGGGGAATGAAAAGTATGGGCATGCAGTTCGCAAATTCTCCGCTCTGTACAGAGATCGACCCCAAACTCCACGGCAGTCGGTTGTTTTCTGGACGGAGTACGTCCTGAGGCATCATGGTGCGCCCCATTTGCAGAGTCCGGCGGTCCACATGAGCTTCATTGAGCTCCACAACCTGGACATCTATGCTCTATTTGTGGCGATCTTAGTCCTTCTTGCTCTCCTCGCCCGACTGGTCGGGATTTACGTAGGTATTTGGTATTTAAAAATAAAAGTATTTAAAACTAAGAAATTGATTTAAAATATCTAAAGATAAGAACCTGAATTATTTGAAAGGAAATAAATTAACCTTGCAAAAATATTTTAAGTATTTTTTATATCAAATAGTTGCCTCAATTTAACTAATTGATCGGAAATGCCATAACTTTGGTGTTTGTAAAGTTAGGATTCTTTTTGGGTTTTCTATTTGGCCAATCAATCCGACCTGCCAAATTTCATAAGGATCGGCCAACTATATTCTAAAGCCGCCATATAACTGGTTGAGCGGAAATGCCATAACTTTGGTGTTTGTAAAGTTAGGAAGTTGGGATTTTTTATGAGTATTAAGAATGCATCATATGAATAATTTTGGAGAATATAATTTACGGAATATTCTGCAAGGGTATATCAGCTTCGGCTTCGCCCG